ATAAGCTGCAATAATTCTACAATTTTCTGTTGAGTTATGAAAAGACTATACCAGAAGTCTAACCATATAAAGAAAGTGAGAAACGAGATTGATGGTGGTGGAGAGCGGCAACAATGAACAAACGACAGTTAAATCATATTTAAGTAAGTCTTCATATATCTATAAAATATGTATTGTACTCTGTAATTAAAATTATTTTTATACATTATTAATTTATATATTATATGGGGCTTTTTAAAATTGTCGAATGTGTATTATGTTATAAATTTAGAGAACTATTAATTTAGCACGTTGTCTCCGAGTCGGGACCGGAAAAAAATATTATTTAAGCGATGTTATTAATTTATCAAGATTCTAGTGTATCACAATCTATTATTTTATTTTTTTTATTATGTTTAGGAAAACCATCAAGAAGCAATTAATGCGAACTACAGGTGTACATGGAAAGTATATAGATGCTGCTGGTGTGAACAGAGCGATATATTTGTATTACATTAAATATGGTAAAAAAATCACAACGGTTAAATTCGGCAGAGAAAATCTTCTATAAATCACGACCATCAGAGAAGATCGAACAACTTCACAATTGTTATTTTCCTTGTCTGAATTTCTCATCCCATCAGCCATGGAAAACAACAACAAAGAATTAAGTATTTGCAAGAAAAAAACAATGGGGCGAAGAAAGATTGAAATTAAGAAAATAGAAAAGAAAAGCAGTCTGCAAGTAACATTCTCGAAGCGGAGAATAGGCCTGTTCCGAAAAGCCAGCGAACTCAGCGTTCTCTGCGGTGCGGAAATCGCAATCCTCGTGCAATCTCCGGCGAATAAGATCTACTCATACGGCCACCCTTCCGTCGAAACTTTGCTCGACCGCTACCAGACCGGCGGAGGTGGCGGAGCAGCCTCGAGTATTATCCCTTACAGGGAAGATGGGAGGAGTAAGTACGATGAAGCTGTAAAGAAACTCGAGATAGTAAAGAGATCAATGAAGCAAGAGAGTAACAGTAGTAGTAATACAAGATTCTGGTGGGATGAACCGATGGAGGGCATGGAACTTTACGAACTTGAGGAATATGCCGAAGCAATGGAAGCTTTGAAGGATAACGTCTTGCGCAGAGTGGACGAGATGGAGAAGCAGAAATCGATCGCTGCTTCCGCTTCCATGTGGGATCTTGATCCTACTTTCCAGATTAATTATCAAGATTTCGATGTAAGTTATAACTTTCTTGACTTTCCTTTATGTTTTTAGGGTTTCTAGGGTTTGTCATGAAGAACTTCAATTTTTTCAAGAATCAAATCATGACTGCATATGCGTTCATTAAATTCAGACATTAACATGAACTGAGTTTTGGATCATTACAAGTAGTTTATTCATTAAAATTTCTTGTCAGATTCTTAAAAAGTTTCCTTAAAAGTAATTGTTAGTGCAGATTTTTGTTTGATTAGTTTTTTTTTTCCTTTCTGCCTTAGGGTTTTTATGGTTTCGAAGAAGCGAATCATCAATACGTTTATAAAATTTTGACAAGTAGCTGAAATCGGAGGTTCAATAAATTGATGTCTTATCATTACAAATCCATTTAACATTTCTTGCCAGATTCAATCGTCTACATATATAATTGTCTATAGTTTATAAGTTGATCGTGTTATTAATAGACAATAGTTGACTCTTCGGCAGGGATTTGAGAGCGATTTAGAAGAGATGTTGAAAGGGGAGGCCGGAGAAATTTTTTAAAGAGATTGTTGTTCAAGAAATTTTTTTTCCACTTTTTTCTCATAATTACATTACCTAGCATTTTATCTTGCAACCAACGTAAAAATCAATTGACCTAATAATTTCACCTTTTTAATCATTATTTTCCTTAAACCAAGCATTAGAGTTTAGTGAATTAATTGTTGTTTCATCCTCAGAAAATATAAAAAAATACTTTATTCATATTCCAAGAATGCTCAAGTGTTTCTTTATATTCCTTTTCATACAGTTCAATTTAGTAGACATCGGTGGATTTTCTTATTATTGGTATAAAAATGAACTAAAACACTCTTTAGAAAACATCATCACTTTTTTTTAGAAGGCCCCTCACGATTAATCGTTGCAGCGGTGATTAATCGGCGATAAATCGGAAATAAATCAGTTTTGTAAATTTAATGTAATATAATTATAAATACTCAAAACATATATAAAAAGATATTTAAACATAATTTTATTCCATCAATTATATATCATAATTACACAATAAAATTTTAATAATAATAAACTCATAATATAATAAAAATTCTTACAAATAAAAATATAATGAAAATCCTGTGCGTCCAAAATTATGTTTGAACATTGTAAGCATATATCATTAGGTCCTTTAAAAATAAAAATTAACATTAAAAAATTAAAACAATGCATAAAATCATTTTTGACCGACTTTTGACCACCTTAAACTGCCTAATAGGCAAAAACCGAATTTTCAAACCTTTACAAAGAAATCATAAAGGTATTAAACCGCCCCTACCTCCGCCTCGGAGATCGACCGATTAATTGGCCGTCTCGACCGAGTTTTAGAACACTGTTATTTACTATATCATATATACTAAATAACTACATATTATAAGATACCGGGAAAAGTTTCAAATCCTATATCTTTTAGCACCTAAATGAATAAATAATTCACACTTTATTTGTTCATTGACTCAATTGCATGAAACCACCGCAGTGTTTGTAAAAATCGAAATAAAATCTATTTTTCAATTGACTTTCTAATGTAAATTAAATAAATGATTAAATATACAAAAGCCGTTTTATAGATGCTACACATGATGAAATACATTGGATGATCTTGAACTATTGATTTACACATAGTAACACACTATGATTAGTGAGTAGTTATTTGAGTTAATTACACAGAATCCTTTGTGTAATCTCGAATGGCTAAAGAAATCCTAGTGTTTAACAAAATTGACACATACCCCTTATATTATTTTTGACAAAGCACACTGCCCCTTAACACGAAATGGATTGTGGCCTTGCCGGAAATGACTAACTTACCCCTAATTGCAAATAAAGCAAAACTCTCCCACAACGAGAAAATATAACAACAAAATACTCCCCAAACCCAAATTGTATCAAAATATTATAAATGTTTTGGTAAAATGGCCTATTTATCTAGCTCTTTAGTTTGTTTTTGTGGAAATACATAAAAATGTAAATAACAACACAAAGAGAGAAAGAGAGAATGCAAAGAACAACAATCCGTAGAGAGAAAATTGTGTGTTTAGGGGAGGGGAGATTCTCATTTATATAGGTGTAATCCACCGGAAGTTACAAAGGAGTTACAACCACTACAATGTGTGGGGATAATGGGGGTAGTGGGAAGTTGAGAATTTATAGTGGAATATGGAGGTTACAACCTCTCATTGTTAGGATAGGAAGACCCATTTTTCCATATTATTTACAACACTCCCCCTTGGGGATTCCTATCAAAAAACTATTGTGCTTTTCATGTTGCCTCGTTAAAACATTCCGAGTAATAAAAACCTAGTGGGAAAAAAAAAACATCGATTAGGAAAAATAGTACAACGTACAATCTTTCCAATCAGCATGTGTTGCCTCGTTAAAACCTTGGCGAGTAACGAAAACCCCATAGGAAAAATAAACCTCGCACAAAGGAAAAAGAGTACAACATGGCACCCAAGTATCTTCTGGATATTGAGTACCTACACGGTACTCCCCCTCAAGTTAACCCCCCCGATATGTACAAGGGAGTGAGTTCGGATAATCTACTCAAGTCAATAGCCTTAACATGTTTTCAAAAGTTGACTTTAGGCAAAACTTATTCTTAAAGTTCGAGCAGTTATCTCAAATTTTGATATGCGGGATCATTATTTGTTTAGGCTATTGTTGTTGCTGATTGAAGAAAACTTCAAAGATATGTACATGGAGTTGTCACTTTAATGAAGCTCATCTTCATTTGCTCAATGCATACTGTATTACAGTCAAATACAATCCCATAGGATCTTCTGTATTAGTCAATTCCCAGGAATCTTGAACATGCCTAATCATGGCTTCAGGCCATGTGCATTCACTCACTATCTCGTGAAGCAAACAACATGCATGATTTGATCTAGTGACAACTAAGGTACATTTCATAGAACCCCACGACATAGCTATTTTCCCAATATTAAACCATTGATTGTGAACGAGCTTTCTATGGATATGACTTCCAGTTAATGCCAATATAAACCACAAGTTTCGCCTCATTCATTGATGCATAGGGCGTGACGGTAAGTTGAGATAATTATATCTAATAAATTTACCGAAAACGCTAAATCATATCGAGGACATGGATTCAAGCATAATAATGCATATTTGCATTACATATGGCATTTCTGGTGCTAACACTTCCTTGGCCTTCTCCATGGGACGGAATGAATCACTGGACGTATTCCACTGTCAAACTCCCATAGGTGTTACTCGAACATTTCTCTCTATCCATAATATCTTCTCCATGTAATTCGATTGATGGACAAATATATAATTGACATGATAACTTTTAAGTTGGTTGAGACAACAAATTAGTCTCATTTAGATCTTTGATCTTGAACTCAAATTTTCAACAATTGAGTTTCTCTTACTTGATTTCTTCATGAGTCCAGATCATGTTCATGTCCTTAACATAAATTGTAGTAATGGGAACAATAAAAACAAATTATTGTTCACATATTCTCTTCTGGAGCATTTACTCACTTATAATATTATCATATTCTTCCGAAATATTTGAAGCCTCGATTTAAGTGAACGTCTCAGCCCAACTGAGTTTATGTTCCGTGGTCTGGAACTAATTGTTTCAAAGAAACATAGTCTTTTAAGGACTTTCATATAAATATTTGTATATAGATCCCCGTAAGATACTTTCTGGCCACGAATTTAATAACATTCACCATGAAAGAGTATAACTCTTTAAAATCAATCTCAGGTTGCTGAGGAAATCCTTAAACTATGAGATGAGTCTTCGAGCTCCCAATCTCTTTTGCCCATAAATCATTGTACTATGAGATGAGTCTTCTGGCTCCAAATCTCGTTCGAGCTATGAGATGAGTCTTCTGGCTCCTAATCTTGTTTAATCTATGAGATGAATCTTCTGGTTCCCAATCTCATTTGAGCTATGAGATAAATCTTCTCGTCCCCAATCTCATTTCATTGATTGAGCTATGAGATGAGTCTCATGGCTCCCAATCTCGTGAACTATGAGATGAATCTTCTAGTTCCCAATCTCATTTCGTTCCTTGAGCTATGATATGAGTCTCCGGGCTCCCAATCTCGTTTGAGCTATGAGATGAATTTTCTGGTTCCCAATCTCATTCCATTCCTTGAGCTATGAGATGAATCTTCTAGTTCCCAATCTCATCCTTTTTACTTTGTGAGTACTCACTTATATCCTATGGGTGAAATTCAAGGAGTTGTAGGAATTACTGGTCTCTACACTTTTCGTTTTATCAAGAAATCAAATTCAGCTCGAGTTGTTTTTTCTTATTTAGGCCCATCATCCCATTGTTTATACTTATCAATTGACCGGCGTTTTATCTCTTCACTCGATATAAGTTCAGTAGCTATTGTATAAGTAAATATGTCATCGATGATCATTTCAGTCTGATACCACATCTCATTCATGCATGAATAACTAATCGAGATGTTTCTATTCTCAGGAATGGATATTAATGTCGAGGCGTCCCTCAACTTCGTCTGCAGGACGAATCCATAGTTTAGAATTATTTTATGAGATGGATCAGGTGAGATCCCATTTGTACTAGTGTTAACCAGATACAATTATTGGGCATTTATCCACTTCCAGGGATGAGAGTTCTTTTATCCCGTTTATCTCCCCCTCTTCTGGGCAGGGATGCAAGACTGGTTAGCAGGGATTGATGGCCTACTCGTATTTCGTCCTTTTTAGGACATCCATCCTTGCAGGCATATTTGATGGCCTACCCGTATTTCGTCATTTTTAGGACATCTATCCTCGCAGGCATATTTGATATCTTGTCGCCTTTTCAAAATAGAGAATGAGTCAGGCATTATTCGTTCTACACGACTTCATATTGTTCTTTACGAACATTAGTATGGACATTCTTTGCAGATTTCTAAGTCGTCCCATACGACTTGACGCCGTTCTTCGGGAATGTTACTATAGACATTTCTTGCAAATATATATTGTCATCCGACACGACTTCACGTTGTTCTTCAAGAACGTTAGTATGGATGATCTATTAATCTATGTATCAATTCTCTTATGTAGGGGATCTTGATGAGACACGGTGGGGTCGTCTCACACGACTTCACGCCGTTCTCCATGAACGTTCGCGTGGATGTTCTTTCCTCCCCTTAACAGCGGGAAGACGGTCTCATCAAAGTGACAGTCCGCATTTGAGCGGGTAAGAGATCGTCTGTCTAAGGTTATAAATTTAAGTTATAGATGTTGATACATATTTCACATATATCTTCTTGGACTACTTCCAAGAAAGAAATTGAATCATTATAGGTATGTGCGTATGCTGGTATATAATCAAATTACTTGATTTCGAGCAATCGACAACTTATGCTTCTGGCATTCAAATTGTGCTTCTACATAACTGTGTCGAAAATTCCTCTAATTTTCCCTATATACGCTTCTGGCCGTACACGTTAGAGATGATGCACATATACTCGATTTCTTGTCTCCAATGGTTTCAACAAAATAACCATTAGCT